CCCAAATAATCATCTAAACCTCAATAAATCAACATATATTTTCAGATCTAGTTTAGAATTTGATCCATAAGCCACATATTCAAAGATCATCAATAAATTTATACTCCAGAACATTCATTATACTACTGACAACCTCAAAGATCATATTTATTCAACATAAATTCATCCCTCTTCCAGATCTTAAATTTTCTACCACTACAAACTCAGAAACTAAAGAAGAAGGATGACTAAGAAAAAATTTTAGAACACTTACTTAGTCTTGAAAAGCTTAAAATCACACCCTAAATATCCTATTAAAAACTCTTACCTTAAAAATTTAGATATTTTGCACCGGCGACTCACTTCTCTCCGCCTCAGCTCGCGCGCAGGAAAAGAATTGCAGAAATGAAAGGAAACGGGTGAGTTTTATAAAAATTCAGTGGGTCCCACACATTTTTTTATTCTTTTCTCTCTCTTCTTTCTTCTTCTTCTTGTTTTTTTTATTATTTTTCTTTACTATTGTTACTATTGAGGCGGCGGCACGTTTTCTTCCTTTTTTTTTTGCAAACCTTTTCCTTTTTTTATTATAATAATAATTTAATAATATATTTTATTTTTATTTTATTTTATTTTTTTAATTATTTTTTTTAATTTTTTTATTTAATTAATTTTTTTTAAGAATTATATCCTAAGTTAGATTTAATAATCATCTCTTACTAATTTTCTTACCTCTAAATATTATTTTTTTATTTCTATTAACCCAAATTAACTATTAAAATTTAAATTGGGATGTTACAGTCCAAGCACCGCTCCAACAATAAAGTCACTTACATCACACATAACCTCAAATGGTAGTGACTAATCAGGAGCAACAACGATAGGAGCCAAAATTAATTGACTCTTAAGCTCTTTAAAAGCGTTTGTACACTTGTCATTGAAATTGAAAGGAGTGCCTTTTTTAAGTAGTTGAGATAAAGGCTTTGAAATTTTAGAGAAGTCCTTGATAGATCGACGATAGAAGCCTGTATGCCCTAAGAAACTTCTTATAGCCTTCACATTAGTGGGCGGTTGCAATTGCTTAATAATTGAAGTCTTAGCTTGACCCACCTCAAGACTCTTCTTGAAGACTTTATGACCCAGAACAATACCTTCAGTTACCATAAAATGGCATTTTTTTTCAATTAAGCACAAGTTAGTCTCCTCACATCTTTCAAGACTCTTACCAAGTTAGACAAGCACTATTCAAATGATTCTCCAAAAATAAAAAAATCATCTATAAACACCTCCATAATCTCTTCAATCACATCAGAGAAGATGCTCATCATACACCTTTGGAAAGTAGCAGGTGTATTGCAAAGACCAAATGGCATCCTTCTAAAGGAAAATGTGCCATAAGGACAAGTAAAAGTAGTTTTCTCTTGAACTTTAAGGGCTATAGCAATCTAGTTGTAGCCTGAGTAACTATCCAAGAAGTAAAAGAACTCCTTACCAGCTAGTCTATCCAATATTTGATCAATGAATGGAAGAGAAAAATGATCTTTCCTTGTGGCATCATTCAACTTCCTATAATCCATGAAAATACGCTACCCAGTAACTATTGGAGTTGGAGTTAGCTCATTTTGCTCATTGGTAATTACTGTCATTCCTCCTTTCTTGGGAATACATTGCACCGGGCTAACCCATTGTCACGCTCCAAAAATAGAGGGTAACCGACACGGGATGTGAACTATATAACACATCTCCATAAGCCTCTAATCTTAAACTCATTTCATTTCTAAAATGTAATCAAATTTATATTGAAATTTTAACAATTTGATATTGGTCATCATAATAAAGTTAAATAAAAAAATTATTTCAGCAAAACCTCACCTATAAATAGGATCTTTTGAAACTTTACAATACAAAAATATTTACAAAATATCATGTCAAACAGGAGCTTAGCTCTTTCGACAAACAAATAGCATATATACTAAAATAGAAGCCCTAGATATAGCATATGTAGAGCAACTAACCAGACTTTTCTAAAAAAAGATACATAAGCATTAATAGTTACATAAAAAGAGAAATTTTGATCACTTCTTTACCCAACATATCTATGAGTTCTCATGGATCAACAAGAGGATCAGTGTCAATTAAGGTATCTGAGATCAAAAATAATTTTTTAGTGAATAACGTCCTAATAATAAACAATAGAACATAAATAAAATGGAAAGTTTGAAATAATTATGTATGTTAAAGAGACAACAATTTCTATAAAAGTTTAATAAAATGACTCTATAAAATTTCAAATAAAATCTCAAATTATTAAACTATCAAATCTGGTAAAAAGTTTCACAAAATAAAGTAATTTAAATATCAAAATAAACAATAATCACATTGTTGTTTTTAAAATGATTTACACAAAAATGTAATATTTTAGTAGAGAAAAATTTGATTGAAAAAAATTAGTTGGGACGCTATCCAGTTACCTGAGGTAATCCCAACATTGTAATTTATCCCTTAACATTCCTCACAACAAGGTTTATTCCTGAAACACCCAATATAATAATAATTAATCTTTAAAATTTAATAAAATTCATAATTATTTACTCACTTATTGTAGTATATTCTCACATTTCTCTTAGACACTAATATTTTTAAATTTTTTTTCCAAAGAAATCATGTCATTTGCATTTCTTTTTTTAGTGCCCAAATCATAATAATCCACTAACATGTTTTAACTAAACAATACCATTATTCACATTTGCACTCTTCACACAACACCTCATCAAACATCTTATATGCATTCTAAAATCAAATCTTACATAGGTATGAAAGCTTATAAATTGCCAACCATACAATCCTCAAGCATCAACAAGTCCTTAATAAAGTTTCCTATATTCAATTTGATAACAAGATTCAACATCTTACAAGAGCAAAACATGATTCTAAATTTAATTTAATTTTAATTTTTTTCCCTTAACACAACCGTAGTCCATCTAAATGATTCATAATTACCCTAAACATCATCATTTATGTCACAATTTCTTTGCGATGCTCAGATTAAAACTCTACTAAATAACATTTGAATCAATCGTTCTTTTTGCCTCAACCAATAGAACTTTAGAAACACATAGTCAAGCAAAAACGCTCCAAACGAGCATTTAACGAAACACTTTATGGGCGTCAATCTTTAAGCTCATATTAATCTCTTCCTCCTCAATATCACTTCCTTAAAATTTTCAATAGCAATGTTATAATAAATAATCCAATCAATTTCAACTAAAACTCAAACCCACTCCATCATCTCCTTCTCTTATACGACCATAAATTTTATCTTAAATCAAGCTTTTCCTTCATACACACATATACGACCAGTCATGTTCAGCAGCAGCAACAGAGGAGAAAATTTTTACAACTCAAGTCATCAACTCACACACTCGCTCACATGAAAAATAAATAGGAAGAAGACTTGAAGTTCCTATAATAGAAATTACCAAACAAAGATAGCAAAAGGAAGAAGAAATCACACCTTAAGTTGAATAGGGGAGGGAAAATCTGATACATCATGCAAAAAAAAAAAAGAAGAATAGAGCTAGCAAAATCAAACCAAGAATCAAAAGGAATCATGGATAGCAGCTCAGTCTAGTGTTTCAGCTTTCTTGCATCAACTCCTACACACTAACAAAGACGCAACCATGAGTGGAGAAGGCAAATCATCAAACAAGGAAAACGACTAGGTGATGGCAAGCATGCTATTGTCACTGGCTAGAGGATAAGACCACGAAGAGAAAGATGACAAGAAAAGATTTTTGGATTTAAGGTTCGAAGCTACTGGAACCGAGAAAAAAATAATCTCTAACTCTCTCTTCCTCTGATCCAGAACGTGTGTGCACCATCAGAAAAGAGAACAAAAGAGGAGGAAAAATGGGGAAGACTTGACCAGAGGCAAAACGATGAAAACTCACTAAAAAAATCAAGGAAGAATAAAGGGAGACAGCAATCGTTAGACCACCTCAGTCGAAGGATCCAGAAATTGTTTTTTTTCCTTTTGCATGTGTCTGACCGAGAAGAAGGAGAATAAATATTTGAGTATTGGAAAATTGCAAAATTTACAAAAGACAACACGGCATTTTCTTCTAATAACATAAGTGAAATGGGCATTTTTTTAATTTTTCCTAAAATTTTAAACTAATAAAATTTAACCTATTGCTCAAAAGAATTCAAACTTTGGATCTTCATATAAGTTATTAAAATAAGTTTCACTAAGCATCACTCTCCATTTGCCATGAAAATAATTTAAATAAAATATAAATTGGGAGAATATTTTTATTTTTTATATTTTACGGTTATTACACCTATGTACTATCAGAAATGGGGTAGATTATCCCAGCATCTAGCCACTTAATAATTTCTTTCTTTACCCCTTCTTTCATCACAGGATTCAACCTTCTCTAATTTTGAATAGATTTCTTATGATCATCTTCTAACAAAATTTTATGCATCACAATAGAAGGACTAATACCTTTGATGTCTGCAATTGTCCATCCCAAAGCTTGCTTGTGATCTCGAAGAACTTTGAGTAACCTTACCTCTTGACCATTAGACCAAGTAGAAGAAATAATAATAGGCAATATCTCAGATTCACCCAAATAAGCATAAGTAAGGTGTGGTGGTAAGGGTTTGAGCTTTGAATTTAGTGTCTGTTCAATTGAAGGCTTCAAAGAAGGAGCTTGCCTAGATTCCAACTCTAGATATTTAAATACTCTTCTTGAATTCAGAAATTGAGGAGTTGCTTGAAGTAATTTCTTGCCTTCAACAATATTATCATTTTCAACCACATTATCTCCTAATAATACAACATGTAATGAGTCTTTCACAACAAAGGACTTTAAAGTCTCTTGAACTACTTCATCTAGAATCTCCATTCTAGAACAAATTTCAGACTCCCCAGGATACTTCACTGCTTTATACATGTTGAAGCTAACTTCTTCATCATTTACTCTAAGCTTGATCTCTCCTCTCTCAATATCAATGAGAGCTCATGCTGTAGCTAAAAATGATGTACCCACAATGAGTGGGAGATTTCTATCTTCATCATAATCCAAGACAATGAAATCTATAGGAAAGATAAATTCATCAACCTTGACTAACACATCCTCAATTTTACCTTTAGAAAATGCCAAACTTTTATAAGATAATTGAAGAGTTACTGAAGTGGAACTAGCTTCACCAAGTTGTAATTTTCTAAATATAGAAACTGGCATCAAGTTGATACTTAAGCCTAAATCACATAATGCCCCACCTTGAAATTTATCTCCAATCACATAAGGAATTGAGAAACTACCTGGATCATGGCATTTTGGAGCCAATTTGTTCAAGAGAATGGCATTGTACTCTTCAGTAAGTGCAACTGTTTCACATTCACTCAACCTCCTCTTCTTACTCAATATCTTCTTCAAGAATTTAGCATGTTGAGGTATTTTCTCTAATGCTTCAATAAGAGGTATGTTGATGTGTGCAATTGCTTGAAGATTCCTAATAATTTCTTGTATTGCTCCTCTAATACCTTCTTTTGAAATCTTTGAGGGAATGGTAGTGGTGGCACTCAAGAAAGATGATCACTAGTCGGTCCCTTCTTCTTAAATGTTGTCACTGCCTTTTTTAGAGGCTCCTTCTTAATATCATTTTCAACAATCACAACTTTAGCTTTAGTAGGTGTACAAGATACCTCTTGCTCAGTTTGATCAATTTCTAGCTTAAGTATTGACTTAGAAGTAGGAGGGGAAATTTCAAATAATTGCTTTCTACTCCATAAGGTAATTGCTTTGCACTCCTCATTTCCTTCTCTACGATGATTAGTCTTCGTATTGCTTAGTAATCCCCCTTTATAAAGTGTAGTCACTACAGTTGCAATTTTCCCCATTTGAACCTCAAGATTCTTCAGAGATGAATCAACTCTTACATTAATGGTAGCTTGTTCTTGATTGTTCTTAATCTGAGATTTTGCTAGTTTTGCCATCACTTCTTCCAAGTTAATTTTTAACTCTTGAATAGGAATAGATTGCTTTTCTACTTGAGGAAAAACCTGGAGGAATGAGTGGCTTTGCACTAGAAGATCAAGCTTGATTGAGCGTTGCACTATTTCTCCAAGAAAAGTTAGGATTCTGATGCCACCCAGGATTGTAAGTGTTTGAAAATGGGTTGACTTGATTATTACCGTGATAATTCCCAGCATAATTTACCATCTCAACTTGTTGAGAAAGATGACAATATTCAGCAGCATATGCATCTCCACAATAATTACACTGAGCATATATGGCATGAGCTCCCATAGACCACAGTAACTCTTTCTTATGGTCTCCTAGGTCACCTCTTGTTGTTGTTCTAGACGTAAGCAATAGCAAGATCATTTAAATAGTTCCAAACATAGTTCACCGATTGCTTTATAATCCCACCATTAGTAACTGAATTCATTTCTAACTTGGATTCAAGTCTCAAACAGCAACTAAAAACTTGAATCAAACCTCATTTCTCTTGATTAGGCCTAGGACTCTGCTTCACCAATTGCTTAAACCTTTCCTAAGCTTCATATAAATGTTTTCCAAACTGTTGATTAAAATTAAGAATGTTGACTCTAGAATTGAACATCTTGTTATGTGAGAAAAAATCTATATTTGAACTTGCTTTCCATTTCCTCCCATGATGAGACACTACCCTCATCTAAATTATTTAGCCAATCCTTAACTTTCCCTTGTAGAAAGTAAGGGAAGAGGTAAAGACGGATGACATCTTAAGTGACCTCATTTTGCTTGAATTAGTCACATATGTCAAGGAAGTTCACTAAATGTCTATTAGGATCCTTATCTTGATTTCTTGGAAATTTCCCATTCATCTTAATCATCTTAAGCATGGTTTGCTTAATTTCAAAGTTGTTCACTTGAAAGTCAAGCACTTTAATCCCAGATTGGTATCTTCTAGCTTGTCTGCCCAAGAAATTAGTGACACACAGCCTGTCATTCTCATCTTTAGCCATCTCTTCATTTATAACTTTTTCACCAATTGGAGGTTAAGTTTGAGGTGAAATAGCTTCCAAAATTGAGACTCCTTGTTCTCACAAGTGTCTTTTTTGATCTAGCTTTATGTGGCATGCAAAATAGTCCTACAAAAACAAGACAAGATCAAGGATCTAACTCAAGAAACAAACAAAAAAGACAAAATAAATGCTCAAACTAATACTACCCAAGGTCCTTTATTTCTAATCACCAATTGCCTAGATTCTTCGACAACAGTACCAAAAACTTGAAGCACACAATTATGTTTTGCTGTAAGTGTACGATTCATAATTAGTAAGTGGCAAATCAAGGTCGATCCCACAAAGAATCAAGTTAATTGGTAATTAGGCAATAAAGTCTCCATTTTCATTTAAGTTGAGCAAACCAAGATATGAATTTGACTTTTTGCAAAATAAAGATGGAAATTAGAAAAATTCATTAAAATTAAAATTCCAACAAGCATAAACAATTAAGGAAACCTAGGGTGGCTATTCCCTTCTTTAATTCATAGAGCATGTAATTATCCAAATAAATTTAATTAATATTAATATGTTAATCCAGAGTATTAATAGGAATAATTATCTTCTAATTAATTATACCCCTCTCTTGAATTAATTTGCTATTTCTAACACAATTACCAAAGAGGCAAAATGGCACAAATTCACTCTAATATGATTATATGGGTCCAATAGGTATATTTCTATCCTATAGGCAGATTAGAATAAATTTTAATCTCACATTACTCAATCTAATAGTCAAATTTAGATTTTTCTCTTCTAAGACAAAACCTAAACCCCTAAATTCACACTCAATGGTGGCCAAGCATTAAGTAGACAAACAAGCATAAGATTGAGTAAACAAAACTAATATTAAGCTTAAATAAATGATTCAAACATACTCTAATCCAAGAATCAGTTCATAGCCACCCTATATTAAGAAAAAACTAGCCACACATGACTTCCATGATAGTAAAATTAGCAATATATATAGTAAAGTAAAGAGAAGAAGGAGAAGAAAAGCTAAATCGGAGTAATCTTGAGCAAAACCCTTGATTTTCCACCAAATCCAAGCTTCTCTAACCCTTCTTTGGCTCTTTTCCCTCTTCCTGAACACTCTGTAATTGCTAGAGGTGAAGAATGGTTGAAAATGACATGCCCAAACCCTAAAAATTACTGAGAGTCAAAACTATATGTTTTACTAAAATCACGCTTTGTTGCAATGAACATGACCTGTTCAAATTTTCTTTTTAAATTTAATTCCTTTGACTTTAACTTTGAAATTATCCTATTTAGGCCCCTAAATTAGGCCTCCCTACATACATAAAACCCATAATAAATGATAGAATTGGTCCACTAACTTCTAACATATTTTCAAGCTCATTTTCACACATTCATCCACTTAATCATATTTTTACTAACAAAAATTTAAATAGATGACTTCCAATTACATTAAAAATACCAATAAGTTCAATAAAATATTGGAAGTCATCAGTGTTCATGCTTGTTTTTCATTATGATAAAGCCCTCTTAAATTTAAGTTAAAATTTATCATTTCTCTTGCAATTATTTGAAAGAATTTTATTAAAATGCACTATTATTGAAAATTTTTATATTTATGAGCAGTAAAAAAAAATAATACATACATGTGATTCTATTAGCATTGTTTAATTTTATGATTATATTATTGAAAAAAATCATTATTTATTTCTAGTTAAGTATATGATTTATTATTTCATTAAGCCATTTTGAGTTATCTTATTATTTATTATCCTCATATTTTCTTTATTATAAATTTGATTGGAACGCTACTCACCAGTAATTACTTTGGTCTCAAATATTGTAATTGACCCTACACCTCCAGCAGATTATTATAGGGCCCATTTTCTTTTTTTTAAAGAGAAAGCCTATTACGATTATTGTTTTGGTAAAACTATTTATTATATTTTGTAATGATAACTTAGTACTCTACATACACCATGGTTAGGTCCTAACATTATTTTATTATTATGTAAATTACTGAAATAGAGCTAGTCTCTTTGTTGGTCTAGTTGGTAGGTTTTGTTGCTATTATAGAAATTTCAAGAGGTTTAAATTATAGGAAAGATTATTTCAAAATTTCTACAAAATATTTAAAACTTTACAAACTTTATTATTATATATAACTTACATACATCAATATTTTAGCTTAATTTCTAATTAATCAAGGCTTATAGAATATGAATTTTTTTTTTCTTTTTTTTTCGCTTACGGCATGACGCTTAGTAGGCAATCTCGATGAAATCATAAGAGCAAGCCATGATGACGGAAGAGAAAGGAAGAAGAAAAATTTCAATATTTCAACCCATAACACAAGTATTTAGCAACAGGGAAGTAAAGGATCAAAGTTTATTACCTCAAATCATCAACAACACAAACAAGAAGTAAATCATGATGAGAGGAAAAATCTTGACCCACTTGAGCAACTATACATGCAAAGGAACACAGCTGACATCGGCATGGAGGTGAGAAAGTATCTTCAACATTGATTTTGGCTAGTGGTCCTATGGTGTCACGCCCAGCAGAGTAGCGAAGAAGAAATAAAGATTCAATACTTCCCGTAGCTACACACACTCAACAGCAACACTTGAACAAGGAAGAAGAAGAGCGACGTCATAGTGGAAAGCAAAAAGACAAATAGATTGAACATTTCACACCCATCAACCACCTCCCACAACACAAAATAGAGGAACATGCTACACGACTCTGATAAAGGAGAAGAAGGAATAGCTGGTGATGGAGAGTAGAAGGAAGACAACATAAACAAAGGAGGAAGATTAGAGAATCTAGTGATCCAACTCATTGTGGCTGACAAAAGTGAACCAAGAGAAGAATGGCGGACGAATTAATGGCAATAGGAAGAGGAAAGTGTGACGGGGAAGAGGAGAAGAGCAGTGAAGAAAAATGATGATCCTTCTCCATTTGAGCTTTGTGAAGTTGGCCGAATGGAATAGAAAAGGAGAAGAAAATAAAATGTAAAGTTTATGGCAAAAATTATAGAAAAATACCCCATCAGATTTTATTATTATTATAATGTTTTTATAACAATAGGCAAGGCCACATTTAATAATTTCCCTATATAAAAATAAAACTAACATATTTGACTTAAATAAGATTTAAAATCTAAATTTCCATATGAGTAACCAGTATAAATTCAATCAGGCCACTACCTCCTCATTCATCATAAAATTAAAATAATTAAATTTAATATTAATTGGGAGAGAATTTATTTAAGTTAAAATTTAAGGTCATTACACTCTTACTAGACTAATATTCCTTCTTGGTAAAATATTTTCAAAATTAATATAAATACAATTAAAACTCAATATTATATATTTTAAATTTTTACTTAAAATTCCTAGATTATTACATTAAATGCCTTAACGAGCAAATTAAATTGTACCCACGTCTACAAGTCAAGGCTTCTCTCTCCATGTACCATTCTCATGACGATAACAAAACAAAATATATCAATGAGTTATGTTATACTTAGCCTCTTGCTTTCATGTGCTTTCATAGAAGTAGCATTATCAAATGTCAATGAACCAATCATTGACACTAAAGGTCATGCTGTTGTGGCAGGTGCTGAATACTACTGGCTCATAACATATCAAGCTCCTGATGAAGGTGAATTTGGTCGTGGCAAGATCTCTAACATGACTTGTCTAGTTAGTATCATCGAAGACCTTGCAAACTGTTGGCGGTACGGACGCAAATCACAAGCTACTTGAGTCGTGCCTAGAAGGACATTGTTCTTAAGAACTATTCTGACACACTGGGTTAATGGACTGATAGTATTCCAGGATTAAGCAAGCATTTTCTGCATAATGCAAGGACACAAAACAGCAGCACTAACAAAAAACTTAGACAAAGAAGAGAAGTTGGAGGGGGAGAAGAATGCCTTGAAAGCTCAAGAGGCTGGCATTGATCCT